GGCATCACATTTGCTGATTTCAAATAATTGCCTCAATAAGTGGTATGGCTCCTTGTCTCAAAAGCATGTCTCATCCCTCTGGATATCCATATTCTTTCATCGAGTTTTATGGTTTTTTTTTAAATCCTACTTTATTTTGTTTTGAAAAGCCATATGGAAATCTCCTGTAGAAGCTTCCTAAAATACATGTGCACATGAAAGGAATCTAAATGGGGCCACCATAGGATGGGGAGACCTGACCTAGACATCCCAAGGCACCAATTAAAACTTCCAGTGACAGGAATGGGTTACATCTTGGTGAGTCAATGGCCAAAAGGGCCCCATGGAGCCCAACTCCCAACCCCCATCACAGGACATTGCCGAGGCTTCTCAATGCTCTCCACATCCTGATAGAAAGGCCATATTGCTAAAGAGGATACTCAGGTCATCAAACTAGGAGAAGTTGAGCGGGTGCCTGACTAAAAGCTTACCCCTACTGATTAGCATTCAAGGTGCAGGATGACACTCTTTACACTACCAGAGGAGAAAGGTTACCAGTGTTACCTAGCTACAAACCCCATGACCTTCAACATTTAAGATATACTGGTACAATAGAGCCACAAACATCATGGTTGTAACTAAGAACTTTTTAATTAGATTTAAGGCCCACTCTATGAGATGAAGCCCACACCTGACTCTACTGGTCAAAAACCCGAGAATAATCGATAGGTCATGGGCCTAAGGGAAAACCTAATATTATTATTCTGCTAAAGAATACACTAAAATAACATTTAATACTTATTACTAGACACACAGACCAGTGATTTGTTCAACCCTCACCAGAAAACATTTGTCTTGCAATAGATGAGAATTAACACAGAGATCCACACCTGGACAATGCTCAGAGAGTGAGAGACTTTGGAACACTCAGTCCTGAAAAAGGGAAACTTCATCAAACACTCTCCTCAAGGCTCAGGGATCTATAAAGATGAGGATGTGGGAATGTTTTAAGAGCCAGAAGTGGGAGATGGAGAAATGGCTCAGAGGTTAAGAGCACTGACTGCTCTTCCAGAGGTCCTGAGTTCAATTTCCAGCAACCACATGGTGTCTCACAACCAACTGTAATGAGATCTGGTGCCCTTTTCTAGTCTCCAGGGATACATGTGGGCAGAACACTGTAAACACAAAAAACAAGCAAACAAAAAAGCCAGAGATGACAGATGTCTCCAATCAGCTATCTTCCAGACACATCAGGACTGATGTGCATATGAACTCACAGGTTGGGACAGCATTCCTGAAACTTGCACAGGTTCCAGACGTGACCCAGCACTGAGAAGGGGAAAAGGATGCAAGGTCCAACCTCTAACCAAGCAACTATTTGTAAACAGATATCTGCTAGCAAAGGGAATAACGGTTTTATCCACTGTATTGACATTGGAGCCTCATACCCAGAAGTGGTTGGCTAACAGAAAATGAATTCCAAGTATTAATTGTTTAAGGGGTTTTTTTCATGTTGATTTGTGTTTTGTTGGTTTTGTTTTTATCTTGTTTTTCTGTTGATTTGTGGTTTTTCATTTAGTTTTTTTTTTGTCTTAATGTGTGTGTGTGTCAGTGTGTGTCTGTGTCTGTGTTTATTGTGTGTGTGTGTCTGTGTGTGTCTGTCTATCTGTGTGTATGTTTATTGTGTGTGTGTTTATTGTGTGTGTGTGTCTGTCTGTGTGT